AACAACTTAGATCTTCAAGGCAGGAATTTGGCCAAGGTTTCCTTGAGGAATATTACTAACCCAAGAGGAAAAACCTAAAGGCATTGGAATCAGCGGTTCCCCAACAAACAATCCCCGCAGTTAAGTTCAAAGCCGAAAAGCCTTCAGAGATTACAAACATTTTAGTCTCCTACTCTTATAATCATAAGCATGAAACCAAAAATTTCCACTCATTTTAGGAAAGCCTCTAACATGGATGATGGAGTTTGAGGAAGAAAAAACAAATAGCAATTACCTTAAGGGGGGAAAACACTCTGCAAGAAGAAAACTTTTTTTAAAACGTAGTATCTTTACAAAATTTACTATAAAACTACAGTAATCAAGATAAAGGTAGACATACTAGTAAGAAAAATGTACCTAGGTATATATGGCTCCTACAAATATACTGAGATTTTCAACAAAAGATGCTAAAATAAATGGATATCCATGTTTGTTTGTTTTAAAACATATTTTTATTGATTTCGGAGAGGGAGAGAAACATCAATGATGGCGCATGACTAGTGAGCTGCACTGGGACAGGTCGCATCGTGACCACCCAGGTGGCAGGGACGCAGGGCCAGCTGCTGGGAGCGGGGGAGCTTTGAAAGCTTTATTCATTCTCATTCTCTCTCTCTTCCACCTAGCAGTCAAGAAGGATGGACTCCCCCAGGATGTGGATGAAGGGCTGTCCCTTAGACTTTTAATTTCATCAGCCAGTGGTACCTGGGCCAAAAGAGATTGGCCACCTCCTGCATGCCCGACTGAGGATCAAGCCTGCAACCAGGGCATGTGCCCTTGACTGGAATCGAACCCGGGATTCTTTAGTCCAAAGGACGATGCTCTATCCACTGAGCCGAACAGGCTAAGGCTTATATCCATGTTTTTTTAAAATGTTTCAAATCCTACATCATAAAAATATCAAAAAATGGATTACTAGTATAGACCTAATAAACATCACTTTCTTCCTTAATCTCCCATCTGACAGTTGTCAGTCTATGTATTTTTCTATTTTATTTTGATTAGATTCCACATATGTGAGATCATATAGTATTTATCTTTTGCTTTGACTGGCTTATTTTTACTCAGCATTCTTTCCAGGTCCATCCATACTGTTGCAAAAGATTTTCTTTAGTCGAATAGTATTCTATTGTATAAATATACCACAGATTTTTTTATCCACTCTATTGATGGGCACTTGGATTGTTTCCAGATCTTGGCTATTGAAATAATGCTGCAATGAACATAGGAATGCATGTATTTTTTCAAATTAGTGTTTGGAGTTTCTTCAGATATATTCCCAAGTCAGATCCTTTTTAATTTTTTGAAGCAACTCCAGTTTTCCAGTGGCTGCGCCTGTCTGCATTCCTGTAACAGTGCATGAGGTATCTCACTGTGGTTTTAGTTTGCAATTCTGGTTGACATAGAGCATCTTTTCCTATCTATTGGCCATCTGAATGTCCTCTGAATAAGTGTTTATTCAGGCCCTTGTCCAGATTTTTAATTGAGTTGTATGCTTTGGTGTTAAGTTCCTTCTATTTTCAAAACTAACCACTTCTCAGATATAGCATTGGTAAATGTTCTCCCATTCAGTGGGCTGCCCTTTTCATTTTGTTGGTTTCTCTTGCTGTGCAGCTTGTTTGGTGTAACCAACCCCATGTTTTTTTCCTGTATTGCTGAGTTGCCTGAGATTTTACGGCCCGTTTTCTCTGAAGATTTTTATGGTTTTGTGACTTTTAAGTCTTTTATCCATTTTTAGTTTATTATGTATGGTGTTAAGTTGGTGGTCTAGTCTCATTTTCTTACATGTACCTGTTCAATTTTCCCAACACCATTTATTGAAGAAACTCTTTATTCCATTGTATGCTCCCGTCTCCTCTGTCAAATATCAACCATAATGGTATGGGTTTATTTCTGGGTTCTCTGTTCTGTTCCACTAATCTATTTGCCTATTCTTACACCAGTACCAGGCTGTTTTGATTACAATGGCCTTGTAGTATAGTTTAAGAAACAGACAACAGTGTGGTGATAGTCAAAGGGAAATGGGGACGGATAAATGGGGATGCAGAGACTTGACTTTGGGTGAACACATCAGACAGTATGCAAATACTGAGTTGTTCACTTGAAACTTATGTAGAAGACAAAAAATCTTAATGACCTCAAAGTAGACAGTTTTAATAGGTCACAGGCAGCAATAACCACAAAATTTGATAAATTAAATTGCTCATCAATAATAATAGACAAGCCCCAGCCAGTGTGGCTCGGTTGGAGCATCATCCCATGTACCTAAGTCTCCAGTTCTACTCCCAGTAATGGCACATACCCAGGTTGCAGGTTGGACCCCTGGCCAGAAGTACATGTGTGTAGCAACAGATCCATGTTTCTCTCCCTTCCTCTAATCAATAAAAACATTTTAAACAGACATCCTCAGGTGAGGGTTACAAAAAAATTAGGACGAAAAAAAAAATTAGGACGAAGACTAGGATAAAATATTCACAACACACATTATCTGACAATAAACTTGTATCCAGAATACGTAATATTTGCAGTATTTAAAAGATGATCCAGCTCTGGACAGTATGGCTCAGTTGGTTGAGCATTGTTCTATGTACCAAAGGTTGCTAATTTGATTCCCAGTAAGGGATCTTGCCCAGGTTGTGGTGTGATGGAGGCAACCAATCATTGTCTCTCTCCTCTCTCTAAAAACAAAAAAGTAAAAAGACATCCAGTTTTTTGGAACTGACAAAACACTTGGACAGTTTGTGAAAGATATACAGATGGCTATAAGAACATGAGGAGCTGCCCCATTATAAAATACAATGTGACATACTGGATTGGATCCTGGAACGGAGAGGATAGTAGTGGGAAAATTGTGAAATTTGAAGTTTAAGTCATATTCCAATGTTAATCTCTTAAGTTTTGACAAATGTGCCAGTTATATAAGATTAAAATCAGGGCATACTGGGTGAAAGATATATAGGAACTCTATGCTATCTTTGCAACTTCTGTAAATTTAAAATCCCAAAAAGTATTTTTTAAGTGCTCAGTATCATTAGGCATCAAGGGAAATGCAAATTAAAATAATAATGGAAAGACAAATAACCTATGTTTCATTTTGTATGGAGAGTAAAAAACTAAATCAAGAACAAAACAAAACCTCACAGAAACAAAGTACAGAGGCATAGAACATCGAACAGACCAGACTATCAAACCTCAGAGGGAAGGCAGAGGAGGGTGGGGGCAAGAGATCAACCGAAGGATTTATATGCATGCACATAAGCATAATCAATGGACACAGATAGTAGGGGAGGTGAAGGTATGTGCTGGGGGTGGGAGAGGTCAATGGGGGAAAAAGGAGACATATGTAATACTTTCAACAATAATTTTTAAAAAACCTCAAAGAAACAACTTATGGTTAGAGGTGTAGGGGAATGGGTGAAAAAGGTGAGGGGTAATATATATAATCAATACTGTGATAAGTATGCAATGACAGATGGTTACTAGACTTACTGGTGATCACATTGTAAGGTATATAAATATTGAATCACTAAGTCGTATACCTGAAACTAATATTGTACACCAACTAAACTTAAAAATGGTTAAAAAGAAATAGATCAATAAATGTTGGAAAGCAACCAGAACTCTTCATAAAGTTTAGTCAATAGCCCAAAACTGGTAATAGCCCAGATAACCATCAACAGAATGGACAAACTATGCACATAAAGTATACACTGAAATTCTACTCTGTAACAAAAAAAAACTACCCATTATAACAACCTCAAAAACATGCTGAAAGCAGACATAAAAGCTATATTCATGTAGGACTTAATATGAAGTTATTAAAATATGCAAAAATATTCTAGTGATATAATCATTGCTTCTCTGGGGGGGAGATGCTGTTGACTGGGATGGCATTTTTCTGGAACTGATTATGGGCTGAGGTTATTTATAGAATGACAACACTTGGGCCTTTTTCTGTCATCCTAATTCTCAGTAGTTAACATTCCTTTTTCATGTGGTTTAAAGTTCCATGCAACTGGCTATAACTCAAAGGCAATACACTATTTTAGGTGCTAGGAAAGTTAATTCGTATATTAGGATCCACAAAACGGAAGCTGCCCCAGTGGCCTGGCCCATGTCACAAATTTAAGCCTATATTTATATGTAACACCTGTCAAGGAAATCTTTGCACCAATCACAATCCTCCAACTCAACTTTAGCTAGCTCACCTTAACCTAGGTAACTGGACCTGCTAATACCTCAGTCCATGGTTTTCCCTTGAATAAAGGACAAATTTTACAAGTTGGTTTGGCATGAAGTATCAGAGGTCAGATGTATATATAACTGGCAGAGAAACAAAACTGTGGATACAGAAAATACATTAATCATGTGCTGATTTAACAGCAATGCTAAGGACTTTAGTCCAAGGTGGACTCACTGCCAACTGAGTTTCCATGCCCATTTTCCTGAGTTAATTAAGCAAGATTAAAAGCAGTACAGTACATCTTTGCTATTTTAACTCCTAGTTTGTTATTGCCCCCATTTCATTTCAGGGTAAGGATTAAATGAAACCATCCAAATTACCTTGATGCCTACCTGGAGCTCACTCCCCAAAGAAACAAAGTCCAGTGACAGCAATAGGCCACCTCAGTGACTATGTTACTTAATAACTGCTCAAGTGCCAACAGTAGATGAGAACTAGTTTTGGGGAAGGGGCCAAGTTAATGTCATATTTAAAAGTTAAGTGGCCTGGCCAGTGTAGCTCAGCAGTTGAGAGTGGATCTATGCACCAAGAGATCACAGTTCAATTCCTGGTCAAACCACATGCTGGGGTTGCAGACTTGAGCCCCAGTGGAGGATGGGGTGGTGGTGGTTTGCAGGAGGCAGCCAATCAATGATTCTCATCATTGAGGACTCTCCCTTCCTTTCAGAAAAAAAAGTCTAAACAAATTCCTTATTGCAAATAAAAACCCAGGGCCACAAAGATGAATATTAAGTTTTATTAAGTTTCAAATACAAAACATTCCAAAAAGAGAAAAGTGATCTATAATACCTATGTTCTATATTCAGATAAACAAGGAAAACACTATCATTCTGGTTGGTTTTGTTTTTGTTTTACAGCCAGTATAAAGCCAGAAATATCAAGACCAATTCTTTTCCAATGAGAGCAGAATTAAGTCTGCTGGGTCAGTAAACTACTTGCCAAATGGCTGTCCTGGTCATTTAAGCATACTTCCTAATTTGAATTTAGTATTGATATTTACTATAATTAAGCTCAATGTCCTACACTATCTTCAAGATATCTAAATAAAATCTCAGGACTCAAAAGCATAAGCCCAAGTAATTTAAGATTATAGAATTGAGGAAGACAGCTATATATAAGTGCAACAGCCATTTAAAATTTGGCCAATACCCTCATGGTCTGTGATTAAGAGCCTGTCAAATGAGGGTTACATCTTTTTTATTATTTCCCACAATCACAAATGTTGGACATGATAGTACTGCTATTTTATTATGCAAAAAAATCTTGAGTTGATTTCTCTAACCCAACAACTCAACTCTGTTTCCTTTGACAACAGTAGCTTTTATACTATTGGCTCTGGAGTCTCCAACATAATGAAGCTGTATTTGGATTTGGATTTGTTTCCAAGATAGGAGGTGGGGGTAACATGGACTAACAAAAATACAGTTTAAAAAGCCAAGTGGCCCAATTTTGTTTCCAATTTTTAAATGTGCTTTCAATCATTTCAGCCATGTTTCCAGTTACTTTAGTTTCCAGATACTACTCTTCCCTTTAGTTGTTTTATGACTTAGTCCCAGTTCTGGATAATAAACAGCAATGTTTCACTTGCTGAAAATCAGTAAGAGCTACCGCTTATGTCTTTCATTTTTTCTAATTAACTTTCTGACATTGATAATTAGGAAGTTCTAAATTAAAGTTGTTCCTAATGACTTTAGCTAAACAATGAAAGCCAAAGCTGTAAAATCTACATAAAGAACCATGAGCGCTCACTACCTCCACTTACCAATTTCCTTAATTGCTCCTTTCTCCATCTGTCAATTATTATTTATCTACCACTCCCTAGTTAAGAGTGCTAACCAACACTGATGCCTTTGTCCAACAGGAACCCTTGAAGGCAAAAATCTATTGCTTGCACCAAACCAATTCTGATGAGCACTGCTTATGCAACTGTTGTGCCTTATGCACATTCTGCATTCTTCTGCTTCAACAACTCTGTAAAATGAAAAGCACGTGATCAGGTCAATTACTCCTCCTTACCTAGTCTATAATACATGCTATTTTGTTGCTTTAACTGACAACAATGCATTTGCTCTAAGTTGTAAACTCTAAAAGCAACCATAAATACCCAGTACAATTCCTGTAAGCATCAATTTAGTGTAATCAAGACTATATAACTATCATTACGCCAATAAAATTGTTTTTCAAACTGGGAACTTAGCAGCTGCATCTAGTCTCCCTTTAGTGGATTTGTACTGTGTCCTGCAATCAACCAGGTACTGATAATAGGAAGCTTGCTCATATGCCAAAACATAAGCTATACATCTCCAGTCAATAACTGCTTATGCAGAAAAAGCACTAACAAATTTTATACACTAAAAAATAGCGAAGCATTACATGACTGATCCATAATGGAAATACACCTGAGTTTAAAATAGCTTCACCCTACATTCAGATCAGCAGTTAATATGCAAGGTGTTGCATATTACAGCACTTAAGTTGATCCCCCTTTACAACATGCCAATATCCTAACCATGCTAAGTGGCAAACCTGGTCTTTAAACCTATAAAAGCTACCACGCTTTTGAAACTTACCTTAGCGTTTGATTTCTCTTGCTGCCAGCTTTAGTCAGCTTTATCTAGTGTGAATAAATCAGCATTCCGTGACCATAATCCTCAACCTGTAAAAATTAAATAGGTAACTATATCTTTAGTCAGAAATACTTCAAAACTTGCCTATAACTTACTGCCCCCTGTGCCAGAAAGAAAAGGCAAGTTCAGACTTGCAGCTTAAGGTATTGCATGGTCTATTTCTCTTAAGTGGTGGAGATTCACTGGCTTGGGATGGACTGGAATGGCTTAAATGGTTAAGTTGCATGGCTTATGGATTCTCATTCTGTTCCAATGGTGCACTGCCATGTTAAATCCATAAGTTGAACGGACAAAACTTATTTGAAGGAATATGTGCAGTACAAGGATTTTTAGTTGGAGGTCTTCAAGTTTACTATATTCAAGAGCATCTTTTTCAACTTCGTGGCTGGACCTGGGTCATGCTGCCTCAGGTTTTGCTTTTTAAAGACCACTTGCAAATAGATTTTCTCCAGTGTAGTTTCACAGAAGTAAAAACAAGTCAGGCATCCAACTAAATGTCAAGTTTGCAATGGCTTACAAGGGGTAGGGAGAGGGGCACCCCAAACTTAAGCCATTTCCTATATTGACTAAAAAATCTAATTCAAAAAATGTTAAAATATGTGAAGCATGTTTAAAGGTCTTCATCAAAAACTTAAAAAGTTACCCCCTCCCAAGCCCCAGGTGGCTATTGGTAAACAGCTGTATTAAAGGCCTTTAAGTGTTATACATGCTTTTAAAAAAAAAATCCAAGAGTTGAATTTGGAGAACTTCTAATATGCTATAGAACACTTGGCTTTTCCAAAAGATTTTTTTTTAATCTAGAAAGCATTTCCACTGCCATGAGGTACAGTATTTCACTGTACTATGAGGAAGTGTTCAATTTCGACTTAGACGGAAAAACTAGTTTGCTTTGCTTACCATCTTTGCTGTTTCACAGGCATTTGATGCTTTAAATCTGATGTGGAATGCTGATAGATTCACTTTTTAGAAGTCATAAGCCTTTGAGAAGTTGGAGATAACTTCATTGCTTATCTATTTTCTCCTTTGCAATCAAGCTGTTCCTTAAAAGTGAGACACTACAGAGTTGCAAAAATTTGAAACAGTAAGAGCAAGCACCGTTTGCAGCTTCATGGTTGGTTTTGGCAAAACTTTTTATTTAGTATTCTGTAGTTGCTTAACACACACTTAAATGATCTTATTGGGGGTGGGGGGAGGGAGAGGTTCTTGTAGATTCCCAAGGAAATGTCAGAAAGACAAAATATGGCCAGCACTATCCATTTGTTTTGGGTTTACTGGGTGAATAGCACTTTCTTTACATAAGTATCTGATCTCAGATTTTTTATACTGATAACATTTGAGATTTCAGTTTGAAGACTGTATGATATCCTACGAGTAACATACCCCAACCACCCTCTAATAGCTAGCTTGTTTGTATAGGCAGAGGGATTCACCTTTCCATTTTAGATGGCTAGATGTTTGTAGAAGATCTTAGAATTGCTTGCCTCATTAACTGGGAAAAAATTAGAAAGTGGCCTTTTGGGACACTTTTACTTGGAAAATTACACTAGTACACAAGTCAAGCCTTAACACATTTAACATTTGCTTGTTGAAAGCAATGTCATAAGATCAAACATGTTTTACTTTTTTCCTCACAAGAACATAAAAATTATGAAAGGGGAACTTAACAGGAAATTTAAAAAATGTAACACAATTTTTCCTTTTAGTAGTCCTTGGGTAGTTATGACAGAATAGGTTCCACTTTCTGTTTGTTTCCTTGAACAGGGATTTTGGTCCAAAGTGTTGTTTTTAT